CAGTTCTGACATCCTGTGTTCTAAGGCTTCTCCTAGCTCTAATATTCTGTGTTCTAAGGGCCCTCCCAATTCTGACATTCCATGTCCCAAATCCTTCAGCTCTGACCTTCTGGATTCTAAGGCTGATTCCAACTCCGATATTCTGTTTAGTCTGTGATTCTAGTGACTTGTGACAGGTGGCAACTGAGACAGATTCTGGGTAAGGACCAGTCTTTAAGATCTTTGATTCTAAAAACAGCCAATTGCAGGCACTTGGAAAGCAGTGGCCCAGCCAGCGGGATGAGCTGGGAGCTGGGGCTCTAACTCTGGCCTTGCCTCTGAGTGTCCAGCCTCTTAGCCTCCCACACTGCCTCCTGCCGCTTCCTGCATACACCCTCTGGAATGAGGGCAGAGGGCAAAAGTGAAGTCCTTTGAAAGCTGGGTGTTCACTAAGGTGCTTGCTTATCCCTACTGTTTTCATCAGTGTTGTTATTTCAGCCTCCTCCAGTAAGTTCATAGTATCCTGCAGCCACTGTCTGGTTCACCTTCCTCACAGAAAGAGACAAGGTGGGCAACAGTTTATAGAGGAGGAAGCTTTGGCACACAAAAGAATCTTAGTGAGAAGTCACTAGCAGTGGGGGACAGGAAAGGCGTTCTTCAGAGCTGAATCTTAAGGGAAGCCAGGACATCTACGAAACAGAGCAGGCCAGGAGAGCATTGCAGACACAGGGCACAATCAGTGAAAAGGCCTGGCCTCAGGAGCAGGGCCATGGTCAAGGCACAGCAAGAAACCCCGTGTTCCTGAAAGGCAGAGTCTGTGGAGGGGATCGAGGTGTCAGAAGACCAGGAAGACAGGCTGCAGCCAAGCCATGAAACAGAGGACTCTATATTGGATCTGGGAGTTAATTGGGAGCCCCTGGAGTTTATTAAGTGGGGTCGGAGGATGACATGGTTAGACCTGGCAGTTAAGGGCAGCTGGATTAGGGTGGTAAAGAGATCTGAGGTAGGGAAACAGCCAGAAAACCTGAATGAGGGTGATGGCTGTGGAGGACAGGGATGGGGAGGTGAGGTAGAGATGGTGTGAGGGTAAAAATGAAAAGATCTGACAACATATTGAGTGTGGGAGAGGAGCCGTGGATGATGCTGGGGTGTAACTGGAAGGATGCTGGTACCTCGGCAGTCATAGGAAGGTAGGGAAGGGGGAAGGGCTGGACGTAAGGCTGTTCTGGATGTAGCCAGTTTGAGATGCCTGTGGGAAGTTCCATTCAGGATGTCCAAAAGGTAGTTGGTGATGCAAGACTAGAGCCCAGGAGAGGCTAGGCCTGGATATTTAGATCTGGAAATCACCTATGTAGAAATGGCGGTTGAACCCATGGGTTCACCATAGGTTCACCATGAGATCACCAAGTGGGAGAATATAGAGGAAAAAGAAAAAAGGGATGAGGACAGAGCTCTGGGGGACACCCCCAGTTAGTGGACATGATCTGGATGAAGGAGGGACAAAGAAGACAGAGAAGGAGCAGTCAAATAGGTAGGAGGAGAACCAGGAGGGAGCAGGGTCACAGAAACCCAGAAGGGGGAGAGAGTAATCCGGGAGAAATAATGGTCCACAGTGTCAAAGTCTATGGAGAAGTCAAAAGGATAAGGATTGAGAAAAGGCCATTCGATTTGGTAATTAAGAGCTCATCGGGTATGCTTTGGAGGGAGCAGTTTCAGTTAACTGAAGGCAGATTACACAGGGCTGACAAGCTTTCTGTTGTTCAGTCTTGTTGGACTCTCCATGACCCCATCTGGGGTTTTCTTGGCAGAGATGCTGGAGTGGTTTGCCATTTCCTTCTCCAGCTCATTTTACAGATGAGGAAACTGAGGCAAACAGGGTGAAGTGATTTGCCCAGGGTCACAGAGTTAGTAAATATCTGAAGCCGGATTTGAACTCACAAAGATGAGTTTTCCTGACTCCAGGCATGGCACTATATGCATTATGGTGCCAACTAGCTGCCCCTGCAGCTAGTGGACACTGTTAGCATAGACAACCTTCTCAGGAGTTTGGGCAAGAAAGGGAGGCAAGATGTAGAATACCTGGAGACGATGGTCAAACCAAGTTAGGGTTTTTACAGGATGAGAGAAGACATGGGTATGCTTGTAGGTAGATAAAGATTTGAAGATTAGCTCCAGCTAAAGTGTGGGAATGATTGAGGGCTGAGGGGGCAATCTTGGAGAAGACAGAAGAGAAGGGCATCAGGGGTGCACGTGGAGGGGTTTGCCTTATAGAGAAGGATTGAAAGAGGAGATGGTGGAGGAAGATGCCTGAATGACATGAGATGAGGAGGAGGGGAGAAGAGGGAGCTCTCTCTCTCTCCCTCTCTCTCTCCCCCTCCTTCTCTCTCTGTCTCTCTCTCTCTCTGTCTCTCTCTCTCCCTCCCTCTCTCTGTGTCTCTCTCTCCCTCCCTCTCTCTGTCTCTCTCTCTCCCTCCCTCTCTCTCTCCCTCTCTCTCCCTCTCCCTCTCTCCCTCTCTCTCTCCCTCCCTCTCTCTCTCCCTCTCTCTCCCCCTCCTTCTCTCTCTGTCTCTGTCTCTCTGTCTCTCTGTCTCTGTCTCTCTGTCTCTCTGTCTCTCTCTGTCTCTCTCTGTCTCTCTCTGTCTCTCTGTCTCTCTGTCTCTCTCTGTCTCTCTCTCTCTCTGTCTCTCTCTCTCTCTCTCTCTCTCTCCTCTCTTTCTCAGCAGAAAAGCCTCTTTTTTTAGTGAAGTAGGAGGTGAGCTCCTCAGCAGAGGGTGGAGGGAGGGGATGCCATGGGAACTTGAGGAGGAGAGAGGAGAAAGTTTGCAACAGCTTCTGTGATAAGTGGGATAGGGAGCAATTAGGGAGATGTAAAGGGACTTACTTGTTTGTGTAGTAAGGTCCCGGTTGAGATTAGGTAACATAAATCTGAAGTGGACCTAGTCAACATGTTTTTATGATTTGTTCAGCTCAATTTAGCAGCATATAAAGAGGAACAGAGAAGGGCAGTTAGGTGGTGCAGCGGATAGAGTGCCAGGCCTGGAGTCAGGAGGACCTGAGTTCAAATGCTGCCTCAGACATTCACTAGCTGTGTGACTCTGGACAAGTCACTTAACCCTGTTTGCCTCAGTTTCCTCATCTGTAAAAGGAGCTGGAGAACGAAATGGCAAACTATTCCAATATCCAAGAATACCCCAAATGGGATCACGAAGAGTTGGACACAACTGAAATGACTGAACAACAACAAAATGGGGTCAATAATAGTACCTACTTCCCAGGGTTGTTGTGAGAATCAGGTAAGTTAATATTTGTAAAGCACGTGTCACATAGTAGGTGCTTAATAAATGCTTATTCCCTTTCTTTCCCCTTTTATGAGCACTGTAAAGCCTGGATTAAATTGTATGTTCCTTGAAGACTGTGCCATTTTTCATTTTTGTCACCCCAGATCCAACACGTGGTTTTGCCCAATCAGTATTTATTGAGTTGTTTACTCTGATTCCCCAACCCTAAGAACAGGTTCTGTACCTAGTAACTCACATTTATATGGGCTATGCTATTTCTGAGGCATTTTGAATATATTATTTCATTAGATGCTGACGACAACCCTATGAAGGAGATTCTACGAGTATTATTATTGCCATTTTAGAGATGAGGAAACTGAGGCCCAGAGAAATGAAGTGACTTGAAAAGGCAGGGTAGGACAGTGGAAAGGACGCTAAATCTGGAGTCAGAGGACCTGATCAGTTAATCCTATGACTAGTATAAGGCAATGACATCAGTAGATATTGAAACCTGGCCTCAAACCCAGGTCTTCTGACTTTTGAGCCTTAAGGCCCTTTCCACTACCCCACACCATCTAATTGTAAATTAATAATGGGTGTTCAATAGATATTTGTTGGATTAATTAGATTTATGCACTTTCCCCTGGGAGACGGCCTTGGCTAAATAGACTCTCGAAAGGTGAGTCACTGATTTTGAGCAAGTAGATGCCTGATGGCAGCTGGGAGATTTGTCTGCTCTGGGTCCCGGATAAAGAGAGGACTTGATCTCTGTATTCCTGGTGAATTTAGCAGAGCCTGCGGGTGAGTTAGAGGCCTACCATCCCCATGCTTCTGGTTTCTGTACTTCTGTCTTTGGGCCCCTTCAGGTCCCAGACCCCCAGGGGCTCCTTGGATGGAAGCAACAGCTACCTAGGCAAGGTCATACCATGAACTTGGAGTCAGGAGAAGATCAGGAATCTCCACCATTTCTTAGCTTTAGGACCCCAGACAGGTCCACTTCCTTTCTCTGACTCAGTTTCCTCATCTGTAAAATGGGGATAATATTCCTTGTACTCTCTGACACACAGGGTCGTTGTAAGAATCAGTTGAAAAGGGGCAGCTAGGTGGCTCAGTGGATAGAGCTCCAGCGTTGGAATCAGGAGGACCTAAGTTCAAATCTAGCCTCAGACACATGACACTTACTAGCTGTGTGACCTTGGGCAAGTCACTTAACCCTGATTGCCTCACCGAAAAAAAAAAAAAGGCAAAAAAAAAAAAAAGAACCAGTTGAAAACAGATGTAAAGCATTTGGTCAACTTGAAAGCCAATGACTATGATTATTATCCTCTGATTATCTGTATGAGCTTAGACAAGTCACGTCTCTCTGATACCTCAGTTTCCCCATTTGTAGAATGGGTAGGATTATATTGGTACTCCATACCACTTATGATTGAGTCATAAGATTATAATATTGAGAGCAGGAAGTGACCATTGGCTCATTGGAAACAGTGTGGTATGGTGAAAAGAGCATTGGGGCTGGAGTCTGAGGACCTGGGTTCAAATCCTACCTCTCATACGTCTACTTGTATGAAGTTGGATTCTGTTTCCTCATCTTTAAAATGAGGAGATTGAACTGGGTGAGCTTGGAAGTCTCTTCAGGGGAAACTGAGGCTCAAAGGTTAAGCGACTTGACTAAAGTATCACCTGTAAAGGGATGCAGGTAGGTGATGGCGATGATAATGGTGGCTGCTTCTGTCTTTGCAGCGGCGTCAGCAGGACCTGGGGCTGGGCGTCTCTGGGGAGCAGCATCCTGGCAGAGTTTGGATCCCTCCACCTGGAGTTCTTGCACCTCACCAAGATCTCTGGCAACCCGATCTTCGCTAGAAAGGCAAGTCTCAGAGGAACCCCTTCCCCTTTGGGTAGTGGCAGGGCATGGGTTCCACCCTTTCAAATGGGCGATAGGGAAACCTCTGCCTCTCAGGTGGGGGCCGGGGGAAAGACGCCAACCTCCCTAGAAACAAATGAAACACATGCTCCTTTGGGTGACAGCTGGTACTGGGGAGGGTGGGCTCAGGGAGCCCCCGGGAGCCGGCAGAGGTTCGGGGAAAGCTAAAGAACTTTGCTAATGGGATAGTCTACCCAGGCTGGGTTAGCTCGGTGGCAGGAGCCCATATGTGCAATATGAGCGTCGGCTCAGCTTAGCAGGAACTGGCCCCATGGTGCAAAGAGGGCGTCTGCTAGGCTGGCGGGCTCTGGAGGTGCAACTTTGCGGTCTGTGCTGTTTTCAGAGCCGCAGCGGCCACGCCACCGCTAGGGTTGGCTCAGCATTAGCGAAGAGACTATTACGTAGCAGGTGTGCGCACTGGCTCGGGGTGCTCGGCAGTGGCTTGGTTATTTAGCTGTCCAAAAGTGGAAGGAGCTGCCTCGGGAGGTAGAGAGTCCCACATCAGAGCCATTTTATTCAACTCAACAAGCACTCATTAAACACCTACTGTGTACTGAGAACTAGCTCTAGGTACTGGGGATACAAGGACAAATAGCCCCTGACCTCAAGGAGCTTACAGTCTAGCAGGGAGAAATACCATGTAGACAAGTAAATTCTCTGTCTCTCTGCCTCCCTTCTCCTCCCTCTCTCCTTTCCTCTTCTCTCTCTCTCTTTCTCCTTCTCTTTCTCTTTCTCCCTCTCTCTGTCCCTCCCTCTCTCTTCCTCTCTTTTTCCTCTCTCTTTCTCTGTCTCTCTTTCATTCTCTCTTCCTCTCACTCTTTCTCCCTCCTTCCCTCTCTCTTCCTCTCTTCTCTCCCTTCCTCTCTTCTCTCTCTTCCTCTCTTTCTCTCCCTCTCTCTCCCTTTTTCCCTCTCTCTTCCTCTCTTTATCCTCTCTCTCTCTCCTTTCTTTCTCCTTCTCTCTTCCTCTCTCTTTCTCCCTCCCTCTCTTTCT